GGCTATAGACTTTAAGATAAAAAAGCCAATTAACTTAGGTGGGGGCCAAATCATACTCTCTTCTCCCCTTAAATAAAATAAAGTAAACAGATAAATAGGAAAAGAATTCCAAGAATGACCTTTTTTTTTTCCTCAGGCCAGGGGAGACTTTGTCTTTTGTGGTATTAGCTTGGTACATTTGATTTAATCCAACAAAAGCCTAGTGCTGAGTTATTCACCACAAAAGGAAACAGATCATCACAGTGCTGGTAGGTCTGAGGGATCTGTAAGGAAACAGGGAAGCGAAGGAAATAAGGAAGCAACAGGGAGACAGAAACCAGGATCTTGGGAGTCTTTCATATGCTGTTAAAATACCTACCTGAAACCATCTTTTAAATGTCGAGTGTTTGCAACTTGCCCTCAGGGTTCAGCTCCTGCATGGAAGGGACAGGAGTAGCTGGGACTTCTCACACAGCCGAGGTCCTCCCCTGCGCTTAGTAGTGCTGAGGGAGATAAGCAAAAGCCTTTCTGTTTCATCTTCCTGGGAAGGTTTGCAGCGTTGTTGGGTGGGCTGCTCCTCCAGGCCTGCCGGCAGCAGTGACTTGTGAGCAGCATCCAAGAGCTGTCAGCCTGGCTGGGGCGAGTCCCTCGGGGCATCGCTGGCTGTGTAGGCTGCGCTGACTTACACCAGCGGAGAGCCTGGCTTTGGACACGGGGCGGTGCGTGGGCACGGTGGTGTGGAAGCACCATGGCTGGTCTATGTTTAAGCCTGACCCTGCAATCCTAGGTGGAGGGTCTTTCTCGGGGCCAAACAAGTTATGTAGTGGGTATTTGATTAAGCTGATTCACAGAATCACAGCATGGTAGGGGTTGGAAGGGACCACTGGAGATCATCTAGTCCAACATCCCCTGCCAAAGCAAGTTCACCTAGAGCAGGTTGCCCAGGAACGTGTCCAGGCGGGTTTTGAATGTCTCCAGGGACAGAGACTCCACAGCCTCTCTGGGCAGCCTGTTCCAGTGCTCTGCCACCCTCAAAGAAAAGAAGTTCCTCCTCATGTTCAGGTGGAACCTCCTGTGTTCAACTGTAGTTATATCAGTGGTGTCATTTTGTAAGAAAAAGGCTCGTTTTTCACTGCAGATATTTAAGGGCTTGCCTTGTATCCTGCCTCTAGGATCCACTGCCATTGTAGGCATCAGGTCAAGGGATGTCTCCTGCAAAGGACCTGCAGGACATCCCTGCCCCAGAGAAGTTGCACTAGGGAGATGCCTGGAATATGCTACACAGCAGCAGGGGAGCACAAGGTTATCCCCAGTGTCCCAGGGCCTTGCAAGAACAAGGAGTTTGTTAACCAAATCATCCAGGAGTCTTGGGGGAGCCAGCCCCACTGTACACCAGACAGCTGACTGAAAAGGACTTTGACAGTCATCCCTAGCCTACCAGGAGACCCATCTCCTCTTTCGGAGCCCAAATCTGGCAATCATCAGCTTGACTCTGCCTGTGTGATCAGGACTCAGCAGGCAGACTCTGGTGCTGCCAAGGCTGGGGCTGGGGCTGACGCTTCGCTTTGCTTTGTGCATGTGAAAAACATCAGCTGAAGTCTGATGCGCTTTTAAGATGAGAAGACACTCTCGTCTGACTGCCCACAATCTCAGGCCCTCAAATTTCCAGGGCCAGGTTCAGCTGTGTCCCTTTTTTCCCTCCTCCCTGCACACCTCTAAATCCCTGCCCACTTTCTAAGCACGAATCCCTGCCTCAGAGCTGGGGTTAAAGAACATCACCCCTCCCTAGCAGAGCATCTGCTTGGGAGGAATAGCCTAGAGCCACACATCTCACACGCTCTGAAGCACTCTTCTTCCACCCCCAGGAGACCCGACCAAACCATCTGGATTTAGGAGCGTCAAAGCCCCCACAACAAAGGTGGCCTCATCGATTGGGAATGCCCAGAAGCTGCCCATGTGCGAGAAGTGTGGATCTGGCATTGTGTAAGTAAGCCTGTCCCTGGAGTTGCAGGCCAAGCATCCCATGCCTGTGCGAGGGGCTGAGGTGCTGCACCCGAAACACTTCACTTTTACCCACATCCAGTGCATTCAGGAGCCGGCCTAAGGCACATTTATTCTCACCAGCTTTGATGATAGCACTAACTTTGCAGTTCCCTGCAGTGAGGCACTAGCTGGGTTTCCCTCTACAGATCATATAATTGGAAACCAGCACCAGTCCCTGTGAGACAAACCTCAAGACAGTTGGTGCTGTAGTGTTTTGCTGCCTACCTGAAGTCTGTTTACAGCACCCAGAAACAACATGTCCTTTCCATTCAGGGGCTGAGTATTTAATGCTTTTTCATGTCTTGGTGCTCCCATGGAGCGGTGACTTGCCTTGGTGGTCAGAGGCAATGTGGACCAGGAGAGCTGCATTCTGCTCACCACTCTGCTGTAGGGCTGCACCCCTCTGCTCTGTGTGTTACACAGACATACTTCCTGTTGTATTTATGTGGGTATGTCTGACTTCTAGCACATCAGGGGCATGGGTTCGATACAGAGCTGCTGTACCATAAGTGTGACAGCATAAGGCACCCAACCCATGTCTTCGTTTCTCAACAGCAGCTTCTTCTGTACAATCTCCTTAGCTTAACAGTTGACTCCAGCAGTCAAGTGCTGGTAGCCCACCTGCATCATCATGGAAGAATTCAGATTTCTTCCATGCTGCCCACCACAAGCTGCCAGATTGTTGCTGGGACCCACTACACTGTGATTGCATGGTCCTGACATGCCTGGAGCACCAAGGACTGGCAGAGTCATTATAGAGGCAATCTGTAAAATATGAATCAGAGACAAACCCTGCAATCATTCTACCAGCTGGGTAGATCTAGACAGCACTAAAAATTAATGAATTATGGACAATGTAGATAGTTGCTGATAAATGATACTACTAGAAAACTGCTATGAGGCTGCTAGTGGTTGTTAACGAGTTACTATGTAGTTTTCCTCATTATCTGCTGGGTTAAGCTGTGAGGTTTTCCAGTAAGAGCTGGCCCACATTTGGCTGGATCTGTTCACTGCAGCTCCCAAGCAGCAGTGGCTGAGAGCAGAATCAGGATCTGGTCTCTGTGCTTCCCTACATGTACTTGACGCGTCAGTCACTAGCAAAAGGGTAGTGGGTGGCTGTGCAACCTTCACCCCCCTCCGTTGCTGGCAAGCAGCCACTTCTGGATTTGATCTGCAATCCGGTTGGTTTGGGCCTGGATTTTGCTCCCCCAGATCGTCAAGATGATGCCTGCCATTTGATTACTGGGCATTTGAAAGCTGTTGTGTTGTCTCCAGCCATCAGTTAAAGATGCCGTCACAGTGATTCTTGCTACCACAGGTGATAGGACTGTCCCTGTGAAACCTAGGCAGGCTAGTGCTAGGAAACATGTTCCAGAGGAGGCCTCCCATGTCGGCACATGTTGAGCTTCAAAAGTGCTGTTAACATCTGCCTGACCAGAGGTAGGGCCTATACTTTTCACTTGTCAGGAGCAAGAGAAAATTGTCCACCTTCAGTGCTGGTGTGGGTCTGGGCTGGGTTGGAGGTGGCTGGGAAGGAGTGGGGACAGTGGTGGGCACCTGGTGCTGAGAGGTGCTGGTTCCTTCCCCAGAGGGGTATTTGTGAAGATCCGGGACAAGCAGCGTCACCCTGAGTGCTATGTGTGCAGTGACTGCGGAACCAACCTCAAGCAGAAAGGACACTTCTTCGTGGAAGACCAAATCTACTGTGAGAAGCACGCCCGGGAGCGGGTGATTCCCCCAGAGGGCTATGAGGTGGTCACTGTCTTCCCAAAATAAACCATACTGCTCACAAAGCAGGAGTGGATGATTTCTCCTCTGCTGCTTTTCCTTGGAAAGTATTGTGCCTGCCCCCCTGCCGAATCTTGTTTGCAATAAGGAATGCTAGGCATGGCTTTGAATTTCCTTGCCATTATTAATCCTCCATCTGTTCACATGACATGTCACTACATTCTTTTTGTCTCCTCTTTCACTGTTTGTTTTGGGTTTTTTTTGTTTTTTGTTTTTTTTTTTTAATACACAGAATTACTATATTTTGCTCCTTTGTGCTGTCAGTTGCACAGGAAAAATCAGAGGCCAAAGTCAGATTACAACTTTTCTGTGTCACAATTATTTGCCTTCTGCTTGCATTCAATAAATGGGGTGAATCCACACAGCAGATGTGTCTGCTTTCTCCTGGTATCCCTCTATACTGGACTGGGGTTCCCAGGGCAGCAGAAGAGGTGCCCAGTGCATGGCTGTGTTTACCCTGGTGAACAGCGGGAGGGAATTAGAAAATTGAGACAAACTGGCCTTGCATGCTGCCTAGCTGCTGTTAGCAGCTGCCTGCTGGCACCCAGCAAGGGCCATGTGGGCACAGCCAAGTCACAGACCATAGCTGGCACTGGTGGCCTGTCCCCAGTGCAAGGCAGCCGAAAGCTGCCTCCTCTGCGTCCAGCACTTCATGATGACAGCACCGGGCACCTCAATGCTTCCCGTTACTGCATCACCCAGGTGCCCATCTGTTCCAGCACCTTCACCCATGTATAGCAAAGAGGTCTCTGCTCAGACCTCTGAATGAGACGTTGGCTGTTCTTTCGGTGTAAAAATAAATGGGTTCTAAGATGTAGTGTCATCTTTGCTTTAAAACAATTGCCAGAGGTTGAAAACCAGAAGGGTTTGTAGCTGCACACAGGCCCTTTCTGGCAGGCACAGGGCTGTCTCCACCACTGGGGTTAGTGGGTGCATCTGCAACAGCTACAGGCAGGGTCATGTGCCTGTCCTGCAAAGTCCTGGCTACCTTCAGCAATGCTTTACTGCTGGGCCCTGTGTTGCTTCTCCTTCATGATCAGTGATACCACAGCACAGCTGCCTTGCAAAACAAACAAAATCCAGAACACAACCCAAAACCCAATCCTCGTCTAAGGTAAAGCTGACCTGTCACCAAGATTATAAGCCTCCCGCTGTCCAGAGCACCCATACAACATTTTGGCAGGTTGGGGAGGTGACTAATTCGCCAACCCACCTAAATTTAGCTCATCCCCTCAGGCTCCTCCTATGGGCAGTAGCAAGTAAGTGATGATGGCATAACACAGCCAGCAGATGCCTCATCCAGCTCATCCCTGGGAAAAGCCTGGCTTCTCCATGCTGCTGGCACATGCGCGCACACAAACCTGCACAAACTCCAGCTCCTAACACAAGCAACTTTATTTTTCAAGGTGAGAGTGGGGCTTTTCAGCCTGCTGGGGTCACATCTCCCCTCACTGCTGCTAATGGGGGTTTAATTCTTTTCCCTCCACAGCACATTTCCCCAGGGAAAGGCTCACTGTGCTGCAGCGCTGGCAGGTGCAGGCAGGCTGGACTGGACAATAAGCCAGTGCAGCAGTGGAGAGCACAGACTCACAGGGTTGGAGGAGTAAACCTGCAGGAACAGATTGCTCTGCCTGCATCTCAGATCAGTGTTCAGTCCCTGCCATGGTGTGGGACTATGGCTGCTGCCAGCACTGCACACTCCTTGCTGCCCCCTTTTTTGGCCCACCACTCTTTGCAGAGGAAAATGCTGGCCACTGGGGGTGTGTGCAGTCACCAAATGTTTTCATACTGTACCACTGTCCATCAGCAAAATGTGGCTCATTCCAGATAACCTCACGAGTTTGCTCTTACGTCAGGGGGTCATGACAGATGGAAGAGCCTGAACATGCCTGGCATTTCCCCTGCACTCCCCACCTCAGCCCCCCATGCAAACAGACAACAAGCCCCGCTTTGTCCAGGCCTGTGTACTTTATGACCCTGGCCAAGCTCCTGCAGCAAAGCCTGGCAGCGCTGCTGGGAAAACACTGATTGTGCAGGGCTTGACGCAGGAGTCGGGAACTACAAAAGGTTTGTGGGGTAGCTCTGGAGGTGCAGGTTTCTAATGCAGATAGCAGTGTTGATCGAATTTATTACTAGGGGAACAGGCTAGCCAAGGCAATTCACATTCATTACGTGGGGAAGACTTCGATCACTCTCTGCTGTAGTGAATTATCTTTTTTTATTATGCAGGACAAAATACTTGGCAAATGCAGTGTTCACTGTAGTCTGACTTGCCAAATTCCTCTGGAGTGTAATGTTTGGCATCTGGAGTTCATCAACAACAATGCAAACACACTGAGCTGCCTGCTCCAGAAGTTAACAATAATGTAAAGTAATACGTAAAAGGTTCCTATCTGAAGAGTGTCAGGCAGTTTGTAAGCGCGTTAGGATCCTGCCAGAGGGGCTGGGCACAAGGCACAATCTGTCATTTTTAACACTTGGGATTCTGGTTGTAGCCTCTCCCTGCCACATCTCCCCTTCCTCCTTGTGCAGCTGACAGCGGTTGTGCACTGCTGCTCCCAGTTGGCTCGTGAGAGCCCCTGCACACAGCACAGGGTGCCCAGCTCAGCCACAGCGTAGCAAGCCACGAGCTGCGGGCCCACAGCAGGCTGGAGAAGAGGGCTCGCATAGGACAGAGTAGCAGAGCTCCCTTCTGTGCTCGGAACATGAATCACTTTTTTAAAAACTATTAAGTCACTGCTGTCAGTGACTCGACAGGGCTAGCCCCAGGAGATAATGCAGATAATAAAGGGTTAAAAAAACCCCAAACCAGCATCATCAAGACAGACCTCATTGTCTCCTCCTCACACCCCACACCATCACAACAACCGGTGTCACTCCCCCCCAGCAAAACAACACTGAGCAGCATGGCCAGTTGCTCCAGCTTCCACATTAATTTCATTTGCTAATGGCAACCCTGTGAGCTCAAATTGTTGTAAAGGCGGGGTTTTGGCAGCTCTAACAGCACCTTTGCTAGGTAGGTAAGTAAAAATACCCAAATGATGGTATGTGCAGAGTGCATGTGAGTGCTGGTGAAATGCCATTAAATAGATCCTAACATGTGAGATAAGTTTACTATGCATTTGCTTGTCAACATCTCAAAAAACCATCAGCAGCCTCTCCCCAGCCAGCAATAGGAGCTGCTTGCCAGATTTGAAGAAAAAAAAAAACAAAAAAACACAAAAAAAACCTGCAAATAGACACACAGCAGCAACACACAAGCAAGCCGAGACCCTATCCTTTACATGCATTCAGTCTCAACTCCAACGTCCACAGACACCCCCAACAGGAACAACAGCTGAGCGTACCTGGGTGCAACATGGGACAGGAGCACTGCTTCCAAGTCACTAGGACCAATCTATGCTTTAAGGCTTTGTCTTGTATTCACTGAAGTATTTTTTCCCCTCTAATGGGCAATCAAGGAGACATTTCACCCAGAACAATTAAAATCTGTTAGCACCAGACATCTCCCTGACCCCCAAGCATCCTCACATTGTCATGACCGCGTTTACTTGTGGATCTGCCACCACCTATAGAAAGGAAGGCTGCTTTCTGAAACGCCAGCACCCCTTACAGTGTGCCCCAGACATTAAGTGCACAAATGCTAGACTGCCCCTTCGTAGCTTCAGTGGATAGCAAGTGTGAACACTGCTCTTGACTGCAGGAATAAGAAACGCAAGGTCATGGCAAGAAGATACTGTTTGCTTTGATCAACAACACTCACGGTACTTTGGGAGCCAAAAAAAAAAGGGGGATGGAGAGTCAGGCTCCTCTATGGCAGCAAGCAAAAACCATGCATTGCTCTCAGTTTTTGATGGTGCGCTAGAAAAGCAGCCACAGCTCTGCAAAGTCGCTCTAACCACCAAGCTCCACACATCACTAAACAGTGACTACATTTCACTAATGCTACTCTTAGCATTAATGCTAGTTAGGCATTTTTAGGAAAGCAGCAATTATTAATAAATCCTAACTGTACTGGCTATGGGATAGAAACTCTTGGTCACTGCTGTTCTCCACCACATTGCCTTGCAGTGACAGTGAGGTAGCTGTGCAGGTTGAGCAGGGTAAATCAGTCTTCAAAACATTAGGTAAGCCTGTGTGGAAGCAGTTATTAAAACTTTTACAATTACTCCATTTAGATACTATTGTAATATATCATTTACTCCTAAATCTTGTAGTAGGTCTTCACTAGTATAAAACAACGCATAAAGGAGACTAGCATAGTACGTCAGCAAATGTAAGTAACACTGAGACAGCACATGTTGGACTTTGCATTATTCAGGCTAATAAGTAACTGAGCAGAAACCTTAAAATTTTGTCTTCAGCAGCTAGAAACAAGACAGGGCTTTCAACAGGCAGAGGTCAAAGCCAGCCTACTCCTTAACTTAACAATTTATTTGTTCCCTCGTAGAGGTAAGGATAAACTTCTCTCACTAATATAAAATAACTTTCTCTAAATCAGGCTAACAGATTACCCTCCATGGAGAGTAAGAATGATCATAAAGTGACTGGAAACTAGTTTCCAAAGTCTGATAGATGAGGTAGGATTTTATTTTATTCCATGTTACCTATGCCTTGGCATAACTAGCACAGTTGCAACTGTGACAGCTCCAGCTGCAATTCCATGGCTACAGCTTCTCATTACACCTAGATGACATTTTCACAAAGCAGAATTGAAAGTTTAAAAGCTACCTGATGCCCAAGTTGAAAGCCATTGCCTAGAGCTGGCTCTTCGAGGCTACATGTGTAAGTAATGCCCTTCACCTCTTTTCTGCCCCACTGTAGTCTCAAACCCTCCCTTCCCAGAAAGTACTCCTTGGTCTCCCACACAGTCCCAGAGACATTCTGCAGTTTCCCCTTCCAGTAGCCTTGGCTCCCTCCACCTGGGCACCTTAGCTGTACAACCCAAGCCAGGCACTACAGAAGTCATGTCTGCACCAGAAAAAGTAGGGGGTTTTGGACTTATTCAAGCTGCCTTGGTTTTGTGGTTTTTTTGTGGTTTTTTTTTTTTTTCTGGTTTTGTGTTGTTGGGTTTTTTTAAATTTTTTTATTTTATTAAATGTGTGAGATTGGCTAATGTGCTAAATGAGTAGTGAAAGAGTGAATTAATGGACACAAC